ACCAATCAGATTCGTCGCGCGATAGGAAGGTCCTATCGATCCACGCACCTGATTGGCGAGCGGGAGCTATCGGGGGATCGACCGGGCGTCGTATGCCCGACTTAGAGGGTGAGAAGAGAAAAGGCGCGAGAGGTGGCGCAAGACGGGTCGAAGATTCAGATGATCAAGAAGAGGAAATGGGCGCGCGAAAGCAAGGCGGGAGAGAGAGAGAGGGAGAAAGAAAAACAATTACGAGGAGAGAGAAAGAGGAGGGAGAAGGAAAGGGAGCGTGGGGAGGGGACGACGCGGGGAACAGAGCGGAGGAGGCTTTTGCATGCATGGCGCCGTCAACAAAAAAAAAAGAAAAAGGCACCGAAACAGTTACAGCTGGCTCCTAATTCAAAATTGAAATCACCATATCCACGCGCGAAAAAGCGACGCGGGAAGAGAAAATCCTACGCCTGTTCTGTCTGGTTGAAATTCCGAAAATTTTCCCCCGACGCGCCCAAGAACATTTACACACCCGAAAAGGACACGTCGACGTTCCGCTTATCTCGAAGTTCCCAACTACCGAACCCAATTCCGAGCGCGCTCGCTAAGGCGTGCGCAATTTCCCATGTATTTTCTGACTTTGCAAAAGGAAAAACAAAACTCAGCAGTCAAAAAGGCTCTCGAAAAAAAAAGGAAAATGCAACACCCGAAAGCAAGAAATCAAAACGGGGTTTTTCCTGGGGTTGGTAGGATATAAGCAAAAGATAGGGTACAAAAGATAGCTCGGGTTTGTGAAGTGGTTCGTCACACGTGTCCACCTCACCCGACACCTCCTTCCCTTGCACAACCGAATGTATGAGTTAAGCCCCCCGCCCCAAATATGAGGTTTGCGTTTTGTTTGGGATCACTGACCGCGCCAGTCCGAGGAACCCAGAGTACAGGGAATACTGGAAGAACGAACAACTTTTCTGCCGATCGAACTCACGGCGTCTAGCCTACCCCTGTCAAACGGAGGATGATCGACTGTGTACTTGGGACTTTCACCAGGCCCTTGAACTAAATTCCCGGCCCCGGATTACCTCGACCCCCATCGTTATCAATACCATCTTACACCCGGATTCGTCGCCATTGAAACCAACTTCCCTCTGTTCTATCTCCTTCTCTCCTATCACCGTCTGACGATAGCTCCCTGGGATTCGATTGAGTACTGCCGGCCCCGGAGGCCGTGTTCTGAGTGTCGTCAGTACAACAGATATCGGGCAGCAGGATTCGTGCGATGCACCGGCTCCGAAGCTGAGCACCGAGAACATTCTCCAGCTGAGGCTGTCCACATCGGACTCAGAGATCTGCGAAACCCACCGGCGACAAGCATTTGAACAGAGAGATACGCACTGTGTTCCACCGGTGCACCACGTGCGAGCCTGCCCGAGGCGAAGGGGCTAGCGAAATTAGCCACTCGGCCCTGAAAAAGGCAGAACCCAGGACCTGGTTCTGCGCCGAAAACGCTTGCGTTTCCATCCCTGAAGCTTGACACCGGAGATCTCAATTCTGCCCTGGGACTTCACCCCACTTCCCTAAAATCCATGGCACACCCCTACTTCCGGGCTTCCCTATCACTCTGAAAACAAGAAGTCGCGCTGGGTGTGAGGTTTGGGCGTCACGTCCCTGGGTTTTATGGTAGTAATTGTTAATTACCCCGCCACACACACCAATAAATAGATACAAATAGAAATAACCAAGCCACATCAACTGCAGCCTGACAGTGCTAGGCCAGCCTCCAACAGCAGCAGGCTTGTTGGACAATGATTCAGGCTTGCCCTGCAGGTCAACAACCGGCCACCTCAAGTATTTCTGGGCCTGGCCAAAGTGCGGCCTGAGCTTCTGGCCGAACAAAAATCGACCTCGCACATCTACTTCCACCGTGCCTCCCTCCCCAATGGAAATTAAAAGTAAACAAACTACACACAATTCGCTAGAAAAAGGCAAAAGTAAACAAACTACACACAATTCGCTAGAAATAGGCAAACAAAGGGAATTCCTCCCACGAAAGCACTGATAGAAAGCCTGTGACGCCATCAATCGTGGATGTTGATCTGCATACACTTATCATATGTTTCTCGGCATTGACCGAACAAGAACCTGACAAGAAACGGAGGCATGTTGAAATGACATGCGACAAGGAAGCACACCCACTGCCAAAAAATTTATAACGAATAAGGTAGATAACACACCATGGGCTCCGCCTCGCATTGAAAGAAGAGACCTTCGTACCCCTCCCCTTTTCAAAGTTTGCTCAACCTCCGCATCCTGTCAGAACCTTTTGACATCGTGAACTTTCCCCGTGAGATACCACAAACAGTACCTACCGCCACTCACTGGCAATCCGTTAGATAATGTGGAAACCCACAACGCCCACGCAAGATGAAGACCTATGAAAGAACATACATGAAACAACCAGAACCCAAAAATGCTGATGTATCCCAAAAGTAGAGGGCGCAAAACTGTTAGACTTCCATTTTACCAGTAATTGCATCCATAGATATCAAAATTCACTGGCCTCAACCTCACAGAAACCTTTTTTTTTTTTTTTTCTTTCTTTTTCCGATGCACTCGGCACGTAGCGTTAAGCCCGCAGCCCACTAAGCTATAGAGTTCTGTTACAAGCATGTCCATTGTCCACCAATTCCATCATAACCTTACGGGCATAGCAGAATTTGGCCTACGACCATGACACCCACAATACAGATTGCCCTAGTAGGTTTTGAGCCTACAAAATCACCAATATCAGTGGTGAGTTCAAACCAACTACTATATCACCAATAATAGCGGTGCATTCAAACCTATTAAACTATAAGCCCAAGAACCTTCCAAAGTTCCCAGTGAACCAAAATAGGCCATGGGCTTGGATCAACTAAAATGATGCGGATGCTTTTGAGAACTCGTAATCATTGCTTTGCTCCTTCGTTCTTCAGTCTAATTTATTAAACACCCAAGAGAGAGCTTCCACTGGAACAGTCATAAAGGCATGATTGGTACCATAAAGTTCACCAAGTTCGTTCAACGGTCATCAATCAGTGCAAAACACACACAAAGAAACAGTAGTGAAAAGACAGGGAGAATTTGATTTGCACCCCTCAAAGGTTTGGCGGTTAGAATCCCAAGGGACATGGAAAGAGAGCGGTCCTGAATGTATCATCTACGTCCATCGTTCGTGAACTTCTCCTTGCGCCACGCCTCTCTACCGGGCAACTCACCCTGTTCTGTTCCCTTGGGTCACTAAACATTTCTGCAGGCCCTTGTCGGCAGAGGGGAGGGGGAGGGGGGGGGGGACTTTCCAAGAGCCTTCTCTGGACCATTGCACCAGTCCCTTCCCTATCTGATAAGGGCATACTAAGGGCATACTTACTTAAATATGGAAACCAATATACCGGCAGGGACATGACGACCATACTTCAGGCCCGAGCGATGCCAGGGGTTCACCGCAAACTTGAATTATCGTCGGAAAGGTGCGACATGGTAAGTCGGCTGTCAGGGGCGAATCGCAAATAAATTGCAACTTTCTGGGGTGCGACACAAATTTTCCCAAAAAGAAAAGGCTCGAAAAGCATTATTATTTACAGGCATCTGATAATTCCGGGTCAAACCTTTCAAAAAAACAACGAGCTATTATAAATCATAATATAATAATAGTATACGGACCTCCGAATACTTGCAACTGCACATCGCGCAGACAGTTTGTGTGCCAAGATCCAAAATCAAAAGACAACATTCAGATTGTACGCTAAGGTCCTAAAGCATTCACTTATTGGGAAAGGGAGCGCTTCAGCAAAAGTACAAGGAGGTGGTCTTCGAAAAAAAGTGTCCCAGTTAGACATTTGTCATCAATCACTTCATTTGTGCCCTCCATTAGATTAAAAACCCGTCAGTGATTCAAAGCGAAACTTTCTCTGGTTTTGCACTGAAACGTTTACCCGGATCCCTTCCCATGATCTTGAATACTTGGTCTCTAGTTCCAAGCTTGAATTTTGCTGCATGCATTTTGGTCAGATAATGACATAAACTAGTGGAAAAATACCGCATGATATGGCGTCTGTTCAGCGACAATTGGAACCACTCGTTCAATCCCCTTCGATTGACAGTAATCCTAGAGTCTCTCTCTCTCTCTCTCTCTCTCACACACACACACACACACACAAACACACACAATCACACACACACACACACACACACACACACACACACACACACGCACACACACACACAGAGCAGACTCTCACAGCTGATACAACATTGAACTCCACATGCAAGATACCGATGCCCTCACATTACCAGCTCTAGGTGGGCATAGCATATCGAAAAAGCGGGTTGTCTGCTCACCTTCCAAGTTTCGCAGAAACATCACTTTGTGCCCACATCACCAGTTCTTTCGTGTGTTCCAAAGCCTTCTCCAAATTTCCACAGGACTTCAAGCCACAAATACAACCTCCTGTGTGTACCTTTCCCAGGATTCATGCTGGTGCACATGGACACATGGTTCACTTTGGCTTACTCGAGCAATAAAGCTAGCAGTCCAAACTAGACCAACCCTGCAGTGGCTTGAACATCCAGCAACCGCCAAAAGTCGACATCGAATGACCAAGACGTTGAGAAAAGCATGGGGGCAGTGGTGGTTCAATTCTGCTTCTCGTACCTGTACTGCCTCCTCCCCCCCCCCCCCCCCCCACCCCCCTGCTCATTGGTGTCATGCTGTAGAAACACCGATAGGCAGGATTGTGTTTTTGTAGCCTACCCTCTTTCCCCAAACACACGACATCCTCATTTTGACTGTCTGTGATCGGAAAGGTAGCATGTATACATGCAGAATCAGGGTGTACTATGTTTAGGGAAAGACAGTAGTGTGCAGCTTATCCCACTGCAACATGTGGGTTGACACCCTTACCTGGCCATAGACTGGGGTCACTGGGCTAATATTATCACCCCATGGCTAATATTATCACCCCAATGACTTGAAGGCAAGTCACGCGCATTTCACTGCTGGGCACATGACCACCTTGACAGACTCAGTCTGTCCCATAGATGACCCTTTAGATGGAGAGACAAGGAGAGAAACCCACCGATTAACCAAGAAAGCGCAACAAGTGACATGGCGACCGCTAGCATTTTGGATAAACTTCAAGAAACAGAGTTGTCCTTGGACATTAACCGTGAAAAAATCAAACTCCAGGACAACGCCATTGTGACGAAACAGTTCCAGGGATTCGTCTGGCGAAGGAGAAAGCGAGATGATCAGTAACTGGGCTATGGCACTGTTTCAAACTGCAAATAAGTGACGGCGAAGCCAAGATGTCAACCGTCCCTACGTCTTGTCCAGGAAGAAGAGCCCCCCTTCTGCCCACACCCCTCCCCTAAACACCAAACAAAGCACTGACACCAAAGAAAGCGAAAGGAAGAAGAAGACAAACAGAAGAGAAAGGATGAAAATAGCATCCTTTACGCTATAAGCATACTGCACACAGACGTTCGGCTAGCCCAAAACTAACCCGTCTTGCCTAAGAACTGCTTCCAGATGATGTTCCAAGAGGAAATCTGGGCTGCCTCACCTGAACCCACCCATTGTGCTAAACGCCATTCTCTTCGATAATCTCCACTCTGACTCTGTCTATATCCACATTTAGAAACCCCTCACGCTCAAAGATATTGATTACCTTGTTTCCCTAAAAAGAAAAAGGCATTGGTATAGATAGCTGGGCAGATATTCTCACCGGTGCGCACACCACTGGACTACGTCGACTTCAACGTTCAGAAACCGCATGCCCGTAATCTTGATCTGATTCAATCTTTGACCGTGAGACATCTTTTATCGTCTTTCCCCCCAGAAAGACTCGCCAGTGCATTCTTCTGAAGCTCAAATGTGTCCCACAATTGAACCAAAATTACTTTGGCACAATGAAAGACTTGCCAGCATGCTCTGGAAAGGTGTTCATACAAATGTTCTCCAACTCCAACACCCCGGAACACAGGGAGGTATTATTACTTTCCCATGGCCCTTCAAGAGGCATGGGCAACAACACAAAATTATCACATCGTAATAAGGATTGAATATGCAATCCACACACACACACACACACACACACACACACACACACACACACACACACACACACACACATACACTCACACTCATCGTCGCCCCTTGGGGATTACAGAAGCTGTGGCCTCCTTTGTCAGCATTACAAACTCTGCACAAACACATAAGTTATTAAACGACACGCACACAGCAGCGGCAGATGCCATATTCCTTGAGAGATCTAACTGATTCAGGGAGGATCTGCTCATTGAACATATGCTTATTCAGACAGACAACTGGTTCAAAAATTGTGATGAAATACTTCACGTCTCAAGCTCGTGATGGTGTGACGCAGCTGGCCCACCACCCACCTCCTCACAACCCTCACTGCAAAAGCATAAGCAATTAGCTCCAATGCCGAGGTCCGACAACAGCCGCCATTTGCTCGTTCGTCTTCTAGCGGTGACAGCATCATGCTCATCCACGATTCACAATCCAGGAACCGGACAAAGCCTTTGCCCTCCTGCAAAAGCATGTGCCATCAGCTCAAATGCAGAGATTCAACGACACTCATTTCCTCACTCATCTTCTAGCAGTGACAACATCATGTTCATCCACAAATTCACATCCGACATCCGGACGAAAAAGCCCTTCTTGCATCCTCTCGTCTCTGCCTGGCTCGGCACTTCTTCCTTCCTTTCTTCTCTTTCTTCTCCTATCCCAGAACCTGGCATGCTTACCTGCTGTCCGTCAGTGCTGTTCTTCTTGATGTCCAAGAGATCTGGTTCCGATCGATTACCCCACTGGAGACAACCCACATCACGTGCACGTACACCTGCTATTCCATCCTCAAGCTCTGCACGCATAGACAGGACACTGTCAGAGGACCAAGCCAAGCCAAGCAAACAGATGGGTCTCACGCACATTCTTCTCCCATCCATGGCAACAAACCCACCACGAGATCCATATCTCAGACATGAAAAATCCGACCCCATCCGCGCCGGCCGCAGAAGTCACTCATCTTCGCGCCGCCTACACATAAAAATTACACTCCTTGTTAAGGGCCTACGTGCCAACACGTGTTTCCCTAAAAATATTTCCCCCACAGCTTCCTGGTACTGGAATGCAGTGAGTGTATTGCCACTATGCTAATAGGCTATTAATAGCCTATTATCCATTTCATTCTTTTTACACTCGCATTTTTGAAGCTTACAATGTGGAATCTGTGGATGAGTGGTTTCCACCGGGATGAATTACACATTTATTTACTTCTATATAAACTAGGCATTTATTTATTGGGAAATTTTATCTGGCGCCCCTGTAATTTCCATTATTTTCCGCCGCACCCCTCCCACGGCCAATTTACCCTGCGGCACCCCTCTGACCACGATTCAAATTTCCGATAAAAACCTCGGTGTCGGTTGGGCCTGAAATCTTTTTGTTATGCCCCTACCAGTACCCGTTCCAAATTTGCAATATGCCCCTACTCGATAGCTGTTGACTACCAGCACCAAAAAAATTCATATGCCCCTACCGATAGAGTACATCTTTTCAGCACACCTCTATGGCTACGAGCATGGCAGCCTCTTCATTTCTCTCTCTCTCTCTCTCTCTCTCTCTCTCTCTCTCTCTCTCTTGCTCGACCACAATGGGAGCAACGACGGAATGATTTCCCACCACCGGGAAATTGAGCGTGGTTTACAGCTGAGTACAGAGCATGACTACGGGAGACACAGAGGAAACGATGATGATGATGATGCAGGGCTGGTGGACAAGTGTGTGGTGAGGGTAAGGAGAATAGGGTATAAATTCAGAGACAGTGGCTGAAATGATTACCTGAGCAGTGAGGTAGAAGGGTAATCGCAACAGTGGTCGCATCCATGGACAGGACGTATATGCTGCAAAAGTAAAACCTCGCACGTGTTGTCTAATATTGCAAGTGTGTATCTCTCTCTCTCTCTCTCTCTCTCTCTCTCTCTCTCTCACACACACACACACACACACACACACACACACACCATTTTTTTGCGGCAGCGCCACAAAAACCACGTGCTTTATATCCCAATCCGAATTTCCGGCGCAAGGGCACGATGGAAAGATGCATGCCGCTCATGAGGGCATATCGCGCAGGGACCGGTGAAATGGGACTGACCGCCAGTAAGGGCACCGCAGAAAGCTGCGCCCC